CACCGGCCGGGGGGCAGCGGGGAGGGGCGGGGCCCCCTCGGGGCTTCAGGGGAACTAGGGCGCGTGGCGACCCCTGTCGGGAACGAGCTGGAAAGGGTCGTTTCCTGTCGCCTGCCTGGGGTGGGAGGTGTCAGACGGTAGGAGTTTGTGCACCACAGATAGTATATTATTAGTTAATTACTGTGGTGTGATCACCACAAAACTTAGACGACTGAAAGCAGCGAACATCCGTTATCTCACCGTTTCTGAGAGTCGGGTCTAGCATAGCACAGCTGGGGGGCTCCAGCTCAGGGTTTCATAGGGTTGCTGCACCTTTTGAGGGGAGACATTTTATCAAAGACTTTAAGACATACTTTTAAATACACTACAGGATGTTTTTCAGTTCTGGGAGAGTGGAGGTTTCAGGTCCAAATAGGGCAGTTTCTTGCTTCCTTGTCTGTGAGCCACCTTCTGACTTGGCCGGAACCGCGTCTGCGCCTGCGCACAGGCCCCACATCAGACGCCTCCCCACTCCACAGCCCGTGTGTCCAATCAACCACGGAGCCCCATCAGTTTATCCCCTAAGTCAGCGGTCCCCAATCTTTTTGCCATCAGGGACCGGCGCTCCTATGAGAATCTAAGGTCTGATGACTGGAGGTGGAGCTGAGGTGGGATGCTAGCGCTGGGGAGCGGCTGCGAATCCTGACGAAGCTTCGCTCACTGCTCACCCGCTGCGCAGCTCACCTCCTGCTGTGCGGCCTGGTTCCTGAGAGGCCAGGGACTCCACTGGTCTGCGACCAGGGGTTGAGGACCCCCTGCCCTATTCCCTCACCCTCACCCCCACCCCCACACACCAGCTCTGCACAGCTGCAGTCCAGTCTTCAGGCTCATCTCTGCCCGTAGTTTCACTCTGCCTGTCTTTTCTGAACCACCCCGTGGCAGGGTGATCGTTCTAAAAAACTAAGTTACTGTCCTGCCTCAGAATCTTCCCTGTCCTCCAGCACAGAGTCCAAGGTCCTGACTTGACACGAGCAGCTGTCTGACCGACCTTACCGCCAGCTCACGCACTGCAAATCATAGAGGAGCAGCCGTTTCCAGACCTCAATCTGCTCTGCTTCCCCTGACCCTCCCCTGCCCCCAGCAGCTCACAGCCACCTCATTTTTCTTCCCCGGCAGTACTAGCACCTATTCAGCCTCCTGATCCAGACAGCAGGTCCTTGAAGAAATTTAGAGAGGGAGATGTACAGGGCCCAGCCTTCCATGTTGGCAAGTCCCAGATCTCTCCGATGCCTCCCGCGCCGACGTGTAATAAAGGCCCAAATAAGGAAGTGCGGGTCTTCACGGCGAGAGCCACAGGAAGTCTCCCGGACTGTCTGCACCTCCAGAAACCACTCCTAACATTCCACTCCATCATCATGGCTGCTTCCTCTCTCTTGAGACACACTGGTCTCCACTAAAACAATCTTTCCTTGGCCTA